CTGTCTTCAGCCCACAGTGTCTCTCAGTCATTTCTCTCTGTGTCCTGTAGAATGTCTGGCAGTTTCCTGTGAAGCAGGAACCCGAAGGACCATTTTGTCAAGCAAAGTTCAGTGGTCACCTTCCTATGGGTCCTGCATGTCCAGTTGATCAAGAAGTCCAGGCAAGAACAGTTTCTTGCCCAAATGGCTATTTTTGCCAAGGTGAAGATAAACTCCATATGGAGTGTCTTCGATGCCCATCCTCCTCTCTGAAGTAAATCAGTGCTGCCAGGAGCAGACATGTCTCACTGTCCAGAAAGTCTAAATTTTTAAAATATTTTAAATGCCACATTCTGTAGATCTTTGAAATATTTGAAGATTACCTATGTATCTGAAATACATCTATGTATACCTAGAAGACTTAACTAACATGGCTACAAATAGGATTATCATAGATGACCAATTATAAATCTATTTTTTAATTATCCATTACAATTTTAAATGAGTTACATAAACATAATAAGATGTAGTGGGTAGCCATTCCAGCTTTTGGTCTGGAAGTTCCAACCCCCATTGAGGCTTCAGTAACTATCATGCCTACAAGGCGGGGCCAAGGGAGGGCCCTAAAGACCCAAGGTCGGAATGCACCAAGCTCTCTTCCTTCTTGCACGGTGGATGCCAGGGGTAGACCAAGGAGAGTTCTCCAGAGAACACTGCCAGACTGCACTACGTCTTTTCACAGAACACAACCTACCTATCCCTTCATTTATAAGTTACGCCATTAAATAAATCTCCCTTTTAACTACGTGAAGTGGCCTTAATAATTTCACCAATACTAATAAACTTATCTGAGGTCAGAGAACAGGACAGCCACTAGATATAAAGGCCAGAAAATGGTGGCACACACACCTTTAATCCTGTCACTTGGAAGGCAGAAATCCATCTGCATCTCTGTGAGTTTAAAGCCACACTGGAAACAGCCAGGCATGGTGACTCACGCCTTTATTCTCAGGAGGTGATGGCAGAAAGCAGAAAGGTATATAAGGCGTGAAACCAGGAACTAGAGCCAGTTAAGCTTTTAGGCTTTTAGCAGCAGTTCAGCTGAGACCCATTTGGATGAGGACACAGAGGCCTCCAGTCTGAGGAAACAGGATCAGCTGAGGAATTGACAAGGTGAGGTAGCTGTGGCTTGTTCTGCTTCTCTGATCTTCCAGCGTCCACCCCAATACCTGGCTCCAAGTTTGATTTTATTAAGACCCTCTAACAATTCATGCTACACACAGGTATCTGTGACTGTTGCACAAAGTGGGGAAATAGCAAGTCGGAAGTTATTGGGAAAGTGCTAAGTTAGCTGGTATGCAGATTGGGAAACTAGTCAAAGTAAGGTAAGTACATGCTAATGGGGATTCCCCCCCCTCCCCCCCCCCCCCCCCCCCCCCCCGCACTGCGTGATTAGCATTTGAGGGCCAGTGACCAGCAGGTTTAATCCTGGGTAAAGGAACTCCTGTGAAAGTGTTCTTGCACCTAATGGTTTCTTCGATGGAATGTAGAAAGAAATTGACTTCTTGTTTCTTACTTTTTTATTTTTGACCGTGTTATACATGAACACACTATATTGATATCATAATCATCCCCCATTCCCTCTTTTATGTCCCCACCTCTATTGACTCCCTTCTTCCCACCTAGTCCCCACTGTGTGTGTGTGTGTGTTGTATGTGTGTGGTATGTGTGTGTAGTGTGTGTGTGTGTGTGTGTGTGTGTGTGTGTGTGTGTGTGTGGTGGGGGCATGTGTGTGTGATGTATGTGTGACATGGGTGTGTGTGGTGTGTGTGTGACGTGTGTATGGTGGGTGTGTGGGTGTGTATGGAAGTGGTGTGTGGGAGTGTGATCTGGGGGGAGCATGTGTGTGGTGTGTGTGTGTATGGTGGGGGGCATGTGTGTGTGGTGTGTGACATGTGGTGGGTGGGTGGGTGTGTGGTGTGATGTGGTGTGTGTGTGAGACATATGTGTGTGGTGTGTGTGTGGTGTGTGTGTGTGTGATATGTGTGTGTGACGTGTGTGTGATATGTGTGTGGTATGTGTGTGTGACGTGTGTGGTGTGTGGTGTGGTGTGGCTCACTGAATTTACTTAGGGTTGTCATTTGCACATGGATAGGAAACTGTAAGACAAAGCACGGACAACCCTACCAATGGCCACACTACTGAGGAAAATCAACCCCACCCCAGAATCCGCAGCTGCCAATCTCCCCAGGGAAGTGTGAGGCCTCATTAGCACCTCCCCCATGCGTGATGGGCTGTTGACAGGTCCCATCTTATGCAGGAGGCCACAGCTACTGCGCGTCTGTGATTGCAAAGGCCACGTCCAGTCCAGAAGACTGTGTCATAGCACTCTTTATAGCCCACTGAGTCTAGTCAGTGCTGACCACATGTGCACAGGGCTAGCTACTGGAGTGTGAGCAACCTAGCAGAGGCCACACCCCTAAAGAAAACTGACTCTCTCTTTCAGCAGCCATCAACTAGGGTGGGGCCTCAAAGCCCCTCCCCCGCATGGTGGACTATTGGCTGGCTTGATCCTGTGCAGGTCTTGTACAAGCAGCAGCTGCTGCTGAGCTCAGGGTTCAACGGTCCTGTCATGTCCAGAAGACACTATTTCCGTGTCTCGGGCTCTTACAATCCTCCTGCCCCCCCTTTTCTTGGAGGCTTGTCCAGTTGGGATGTGTGCCAACTTTCTGTAGTGATAATACGTCTTTACATGTGCACTCTGTCTTTCCCTCTGCTGCAGCACAGCATTTCCACAGCCAGTGTGAAGTCTCAAACGAAGAGCGTCTTCTGTACTGTGTGAAACTGAAAGGAAGATGTCACTGTACCGTCTAGCCCACTGCCCTTGGTGGGGTCATCCCAAGTCAGGCCTGCACTCGGGATATCTCCTACCTAAGGAACACATAGAAACGTACTAAACAAACAAGAGTTTTTCTAAAGAAAGATTAGCTCCCAGTAGCTCAGGAGAATTTGTGCTGATTGCCTTCCCAAGTACAATGTTAAAAGGGTTTTGGAAGCCAGACATGGTGATGCATACCTATAGTCCCAGCCTTTGGGAAGGTTATCATAAGATAGAGGATAGCCTGGTCCACACAGTGAGTCCAAGGCCAGCCAGGGCCACCATCCTGGTTAGCTTTTATTGTCAACTCTACACAAGTGAGAGTCACCCGGGAAAAGGGAGTTTTCTCAGTTGAGGGATTGCCCAGACCAGACTACCCTACAGGAATTTCTTGATTGATGTGAGGAGGCCAAGCTCATGGTGGGCAGTGCTACCACTGAGCAGGTAGGCCTGGGATGTAAAAGAAACCCGAGTAAACACGAGCCAGAGAGAACAAGCCAGTAAGCAGTGTTCTCTGTGGTTGCTGCCTCGAGGTTTCTGCCTGCAGTTCTTTCCTGACTTCTCTTAAAAACAGATTGAGTGGGCTTGATGGTGCATGCCTGTAATCCCAGCACTCAGGAGGCAGATGCAGGCGGATCTCTGAGTTTGAGGCCAGCCTGGTCTACAGAGTGAGTTCTAGGACAGCCAGGGCTGCACAGAGAAATCCTGTCTCAAAAAAACCAAAAGGAAAAAAAAAAAAAAGATTGTAACCTGGAATTGTAAGCTTTTCCTCCCCATGAGTGACCTGGAAGTGAAGCCTTTCTTCCCCATGAGTGACCTGGAAGTGAAGCCTTTCCTCCCCATGAGTGACCTGGAAGTGAAGCCTTTCCTCCCCATGAGTGACCTGGAAGTGAAGCCTTTCCTTCCCATGAGGCTTCTGGTCAGAGTGTTTCATCACAACCACAGAAACCAAACTAGAATAACCACACAGTGACACCCTGTCTCAAAAGGTCCAAAGAAACAACCAAACGATGTTCCTAGGAGGTGAGATTGAAGACGTCTGTAACAGGCTTGGAATTGTGTCACATCCAGTCCTGTGCCTCGGGACAATGTTTTAGTCAGTGATAGACTTTAGTCCCATAAGAACTTCATGGAGCTGAAAAGTTGCTGTGGACTAGCACATGCAGCTACCCTGGCCCTGTGATGTCTACCCTGCAGCACGTCTGTGGTGGTGCCGGTTCAGAGCTACCACTCTGCCGGCCGTGGAAGCGCACAACACGCACAGCTATGAAGTTGTAACACTTGAGAAGGGTAATAAATGACCCATTGCCACCTTTTGGGTATTATGCGATACTTCTTATCAATGTTTTCAGGTTCACTCCTACTTATAGAGGGGAAAGTGCACAGTAAAGCAGAATGCCGCATCGCACCAGCAGTGCTCACACTGCACACCAGTGCACACACTGCACACAAGTGCACACATGGCCCAGCAGTGCACACATTGCACACCAGTGCACACATTGTACACATTGCACAGCACTGCACACATTGCACACAAGTGCACACATGACCCAGCAGTGCACACATTGCACCAGCAGTGCACACATTGAACACAAGTGCACACACTGCACAGCAGTGCACACATGGCCCAGCAGTGCACACATGACCCAGCAGTGCACACATCGCCCAGCAGTGCACACATGGCCCAGCAGTGCACACTTTGCACACCAGTGCACACATGGTCCAGCAGTGCACACAGCTGACTGATGTTCACTGTGTCTCTTCAGTCTAGCGTCTCCTCCCACATCTGGCTGGTCCCACGATGCTGTGTTCGTCACGGCCCTGGTAGTAGTAAGCTATATGGTACGTATTTGTTTGGATGTGTGTATCCACACGCCGGGTACAGGTTTATAACAGGTGTGTAGCAGGCTAGTCCAGCTAGGTTTGTGCAAGCACACCACAGTACTCACACAGCAAGGAAATCATCTAATAGCACATTTCACAGGACATGCCCCATCATCAAGTGACGTGCGGCTGTACATGAACGTTTGGGTGCTGGTGCTAACAGCCCGGAGATTCCTAATATCTCCTCTTAAGATCGTCAGGCCCCAAGACGACAGCTGGTCTCCAGCAGCCCACTGCCCGCTTTGTTTGTCCTTTGCAGGTGTGTGCTATGCGGAGTTCGGAGTTCGAGTCCCCAAGACCACAGGATCTGCCTACACCTACAGCTATGTCACTGTCGGGGAATTTGTGGCGTTTTTCATCGGCTGGAACCTGATTCTGGAGTACCTGATCGGCACGGCCGCTGGAGCCAGTGCCCTGAGCAGCATGTTCGACTCCCTGGCAAACCACACCATCAGCCGCTGGATGGTGGACACAGTGGGGACCCTCAACGGCCTCGGTGAGATCGCGTCAACCCCTCCCCTAACGTGCCAGCTCATGAGCCAGACGGACAGATTCCCCTTTAAGAATGCAACTTGGAAGCCGGGCGGTGGTAGTGCATGCCTTTAATCCCAGCACTCGGGAGGCAGAGTCAGGCGGATCTCTGTGAGTTTGAGGCCAGCCTGGGCTACCAAGCGAGTTCCAGGAAAGGCGCAAAGCTACACAGAGAAACCCTGTCTCGAAAAAAAAAAAAAAGAATGCAACTTGGAGGCTGGAAAGATGGTGCAGTGGGTAGAGCACTTGCTGGGCAACCTGAGGACCTGGGTTTGGTATCCCCAACACACACACACACACACACACACACACACACACACACACACACACACACACCAATTTGGGAAAATGTGTCAAGAACTTTAAATGATTCTTTTTGTTTTTACAAAGCGATTCTTCACTCTAAGGAATTATTCTAATTTCCATGAATACATCATACAAAAAGACAATCATCCCAGTCTTATTTTTAAAGGTTGCACACCCCTTATCTGAGATGCTTGGGGCCAGTAGTTTTTGGACCTTGGAGTTTTTCAAACTTTGGAATATTTACATACACACAATAAGATACTGGGATTGGCCATTGACACCCAGGTCTAACACAAAATTTATTGGTTTTTCATATACATCTCAGACACATAGCCTGAAGATAATATTATTCAATATATTATTCAAAGTCTCATTGTATGTGTGAATCTTATCACTTGGGGTATCGTGGAAGCCGCTCAAAAAGTTTCAGATTTCATAGTATCTCAGATTTGGGATTTTTAGATTATGGATGCTCAATTATAATAATTTGAAAAATTCTTCAATAGGACAAATGGCCATGTGAATTGTGGATACATATTGTGTGCCTGACGACTAAAAAGATGACCGAGGAGGTCACAGCACGCACTGTGGACTAATATGTCGTGTTCCATTTCAGAGGACACAGGCTGCACTGGACAGGCACTCTGACAACAGCTGTATGAAAATAAAACAAACGCAACCAAGGGACCTGGGGAGATCACCAGTGATTTCATTGCCAGTTCCCCCCATTTCTCATAATTAATGTTTTCACTTCCAAATTTAAAAAAGAAGTTTTTATTTTTTTGTTTTTCGAGACAGGGTTTGTCTGTGTAACATCCCTGGCTGTCCTGGAACTCACTCTGTAGACCAGTCTGGTCTCCAACTCACAAAGATCCACTTGCCCCTGTCTTCTGAGTGCTGGGATTAAAGGAATGTGCCACCATCACCCGGCTCCAAATAAAAAAATTTAAGGAATAAAATGATTCCAGTCCAGCCAACATTCACAAGGCATCCTAATACTGAGCAAGAGCCGAGTGGGTCAGAGGTCACCTAACAAATGCCCAGAGACAGACCGTCTGCCCCTTGCCACGGCTCTCCATCCTAATGCCTGGTGTACCCTTCCACATTTACAGGATGCGTAGTTACAGTTGAAGGGGCTTTGGAGTCTTGCTTCAGAATTTCCCAAGACAGCTGGGGATGGAGCTCAGTAGTTCAGGGCTTATGCGGTACATTTGAGACCTTGAGTTCAATCCCTAGAGTTCACATACACATGGGCAGGGGAGAGAGAAAGGGATGGGAGCAGGGAGACTCCAAAAATAATTCTGAGGCTATGTCAAATCATTTGACTTCAGTGTACTTACCTCAGAAAATATTTGGCAAAAATGTTGACCAGGGCTAAGAGATGGCTCAGTGGTTAGGAGCACTTGCTGTTTCTCCTGAGGACCTAGGTTTAGTTCCCAGTGTCCAAGTCAGGTAGCTCACAACCTCCTGTAACCCCAGCTCCAGGGCATCCAAGGCCTGTGACTTATGCGGTCCCTGCACGTGTGCGCAGATTCATACACAGGCACACAGAGAGAGACGCAATTACAAATAATAAAAATAAACCCTCTTTTTAAATTGCTGATCACCCCAGTGCCACAATAACAAGGCTAAAGATCATGGCTGTATTCTGATTTCATAACATTTTGATTCTGAAATGACCCCAAATCAGTCATCCGCCTCACTCGCTTTGCAGATGAGGTCCAGAAGGATGAGGGATGTGCCGAGGCCACACTGTGGGCCGCTGGCGAAAGGACAGCCAGGCTCCCTGGCTGCTGCTGGGGCAGTACCTCTTCCCCTCCGCAGAGGGCAGGCGTCCACTGGCCAACGGGCGGCCCAAGCTGCAGGACCTGTTCACAGGCGTTTTCTCTCTGTAACCCTGCGCTGCGGATGAGAAAAGAAAACTCTTAAAACAGCTTTCAAATATGCACATTTTGAAACTCGCTAACAAAGAGAGATTGTGACACTGGGGTATAAATCTTACAGATTACAGGCTGCCAGTAATGAAGATAAAGAAGTTTTCACAGAATGTGTTAGACACATGTACATATGTGCCACAAATGTCCCAAGACGCTCCTGACTTTACACGTCCCTGCCACGCCTCCACCGGTGTTTGCAAATGTCTCATTACATGTTCCAAGTTTTGATCTGTGGTGTCAGGTGACCTTATCTGTGTCCCAAACTTCCTCACTTGCAAATAAACACTTGCACCTGCTTATGGGCCATAGAGTGACATGTGTATGTGTACACACAGAGAGACAGACAGATGACAGACAGACAGACAGACAGAGAGCCTTCGCTGCTCTTTCTCACAGACTAGCCACTATCCTGTGAGTCATAGCCATTCGGATGCAATGGGGTAGAGTGAGTCTGTGAGCTCTTTCTTCTCTTTGGATGATACTAACCATGTCTTCCTCCCGTAGGGAAAGGAGAAGAATCATACCCAGACCTCCTGGCTCTGGTGATCGCTGTCATTGTGACCATCATTGTGGCTCTGGGGGTAAAGAATTCCGTGGGCTTCAACAACATCCTCAATGTCCTGAACCTGGCAGTGTGGGTGTTCATCATGATCGCAGGCTTCTTCTTCGTCAATGGCAAATACTGGGCTGAGGGCCAGTTCTTGCCCCACGGCTGGTCAGGGGTGAGTTCAGTCCCAGAGGCTAATGTGCCTTGCAGGATGGGAACAGTCTAAGACACATTTTCAAGAAAATGTGCTCTTTTAGTTAGAAATGTTCTGAAGAAGTCTTTAGATTTTAACTTGTTCACTGGTTTCACGGGCATGTGCTGAGTGAGATCCCAGTCTACACAGATAGCAGTAACAGATTAGATGTGGTGTGCTCGCTCAACACACCTACCTCCATGTTAATGCTGTATGCATTACCTCATCACATCATCACAATAACCTTGGGCAGAAAATATTCACAATTGGGACCGAAGGATGAAGGCATCTGTGCCCAGAGAGGGCCAGTGACTTCCTGTTAAGCACCGTGCCAATGGCAGAATCAGAACCTAAAGCCAGGGGTATTGGACCCAAAGACTGTAGGAACAGCTCGATTCTGCAAAGAGCAGCCGCCATGCACAGAAATAGACAAATTAGTAAAGAAAGCCAGGAAGAGTGGATGAATGGGAAAGGGCTGAGTTTTGCCTCAGTGTTAAATTAGAGGGAAAAGCATTTGTAATCAGACTCCAACATCTAACCCTGGAAAGAAAGTCCTGCTGGGGTCTGAGAGCAGTGGAGTGACAGTTTGAAGTCCCATCTGAGAGGCACACAGTCCAGCTAGTGTAGTCCGGGGGGCAGGAGGGCAGGCTCGGTGGGAAGGACATCTTCAGATTCCATCCCCAGGACCTGGTGACAGTAAAAATGTAAGTCAGGGCGGCAAATTCTTTACACTAAGGTGGCTCTGAGTTCCACCTGACTTTTTCTGCAGTGTGCCTAGAAAACATTTATTTTATGGATTTACTGGTAAATAAAGCCAGACTTTTTTTGATGGTGGAGCATAAGTCAGAAATTTTCTAGATGGCAGCATCTCAGAAGTGCCCAGGTCCTGTCCTCTCATTTCACAAGTGAGTGACTCTCCAGAGCCCCAGAGAGCAGGTCGGCCCGGTGCTGGGGCAGAGCGCAAGTGCAGGACTCAATTTGCTTTTGTAGCTTTTGCTTAGACTGGTTTTCCTCCAAGATGTCCAGGGATCAGAAATCACTCTTGAAGAACATTCAAAATAACTTCTGTTTATTCTAAGCCATGCCATGTTAGTCAGTGCGGAGAAATAAGCAAGTCGTTTAAGCCGAAATTGCGAGTCTTCTGCTGACCTGTAGGAATTCCACAGAACCACGAAGCGCATCCCTCCTCTCTGAAATGAATAAATACTGAAACTGGTCGAAACCAGAAAGGGGGACAAAGAAGCACTGTTGGATCCCAAGTCTACATTTTCTTATGATACACATTGTTCTTTTCCTATCACAGAAGAGAAACAACAAATTATAAGAATGGAAACAAGGAATGTCTCCCGGACCCCAAGTGCATTCTTTTTGTAACCCATGAAAGCGTTCTCACGGTTTTCTCCACACCGTGAGGGCTGACTGGGTTGAGGACTTACTGGAAGACGCTGGGCACCAGTTCACTTCTGTGTTCTCAGCTCCTCTCGTTATCAAGGGAGGAGGCAAACTTGCAGCAGAGGCTTGCAGAAGAGGATAGCCTCTTAGCTGCCTTTGTGTGGTACTGTGAGAGTGATACCTGTCATGCCATGTTCTGCTCCATCAATGTTGGCCTGCTCTTACAGGATGCTTTATCCCCACCATACACTTGGAGCGCACAGGCTCTGAGAGAGTGGTAACACACTTGATCTCACTTCACTTAGTCAGGACAAGGGCTATAGGATTCCAAGGCCCTTTTCCTTTTGTTTTAGTACCCCGTGTATACTACGCTGATCTCTCTCCTCTAAGCATTCTTAAAAATAATGAAGACAATGAGGGCTGGGGAGATCGCTCACCAGGAAATCTTCATGCAACAAGCATGAAGACCAAAGTTCGAATGCCCATAACCACATAAATACCAGCCAAGCAGGCATGGTGGCCCAACAGTAATTCCAGCTATTGGAAGGCACAGACGGGGGTCCCAGGTCAAGATGGCTGGCTAGATTGACAGACCCTACCTCAGTGAATATGATGGAGAGTGACAGAGGAAGACTCTTAACAACAATATTGGGACTACACACACAGGCACACATACTCACACCCTCACAGATGTAAACACACATGCACATAAAATCATAATAACAAGGTAACTAATCTTGCATATTTTCCTTAAACGTTCATGGAGAATTAGAATACTGGACTTTTTTCACAGGCATGGGTACTTTGTCTGTGTGTGTCCTTGTGCACCACTGTGTTCATAAAGTACCTGCAGAGACCAGAAGAGAGAGCAAATCCCCTGGAACTGGATTTACAGATGGTTGATAGCCACCATGTGGGCGCCACGAATCAAACACCCATCCTAAGGAAGAGCAATTGTTTCTCTTACAGGCAGAGCCATCTCTCCAGGCCCTGAACTGGAATATTGGAGCTGAAAGAAACATTAAGAAATACCAAGTTCTTATCTTCTCTCAGACTGGGTGTGCATCACCCGCTGTGAGGACTAGGAGGAGTGAGGGCCTCTGAACAGCCTTCCCTAGTTGTGAAGAAAATGATTCATCTTTTAGCCCTTTCTTTCCTCTGGTGCTCTGTCCTGGGGTCCTCGTTCTCTCTGAGGCATCTTCTTCCTGAGTCAGGGATTCCACACCCTTCCCAATCAAGAGGCCACTGCTTCACGGAGTCATCAGACCAGCTTTGGGGGCCCGGGTTTATGCACCCTGGATTCTCACTTGCTTTTATAGAAAGAAAATAAGGTCTAGATTTAGGTATAAAGAAGAAAAGAAGCAATGACTTCTCTTTGTGACAAGCACTTTCAAATACATGTTTCATTTGCTCTTCACGGGAGCCCTGGGAAAAACAGCAGTGCTGTCCACTTTCATGCCGAAATAGCTGAAGTTTCATCCAAGACGGCAGTGCTAGTAAGCAGTCTAGCTGAAACTGAATTCCAGTCTTGGGTGAAGTCAAGTCCGTATTGACTCCACATCCTCTGGTTTAGACCCCTTGAGACCACCCAGCTCTGTTTAAACCTCTGGCCACTGACCTCACCTAGTAACCTGAGTAGACTTGTCATTGGCCACTAGAGAAGCCTGGCTGGGCATTTGGATTTTTAATGTGTATCTCTTATCCCAGAAAGAAACAAATGTACAACCCTGTGCTGTGACAGGAAGTGTTATCTGAGCTCCACGGACAGCATGCGAGCTGATGACTCAGCCTCCCATCCTCTGCCTGGCCTTGGATTGCTGCACGTGCTCCCCAGTGAACAACTGGGCCTTGCTCTTTCTCTACTTTGGTTTCAGATCACTTTTCTTGTCCAGCAAGGCCACTGTAAATTTAAATCACATATTGTAAAAGTCCAGCACCTTCTCATGACTCGGATCACCTACCACAGCAGTAAATGTATCCCCACCCTTATCTAACAATTGTCAGCACAAATGTTTTCTTACTCAGCAGCTGCATGGGTGTCTATGCTGCTTAGGGAACCCCTGAACCCCACTGCTAACTAGGGAGCTAGTGCGGAGTTCCAGTAACTTGTGGTGTCCTGTGCTTTAGGTAGAAGGGATGAGGAAATGAGGTGGGATTGCATGAGGACACCATCACACTGGTTTAAGCACAACTTGCAAGTGCCATGAAAGGGTTAATGAACAACCAGTCCTCTGGCAATGGGGCCCTCACAAGCCTCTTCCAGCCACCTCCTTCCAAAGAAAATAGCTTAAGGAATGGTTTACTCACTTAAAGGTTCTGGGTCAAATGCTTCTTTCGTCTTGAAGAGCTTAAGAACAACAAACATTTTCCCCTATATCAAGTGACTCTGGCCCTCAGTTGAACCCCGGCTTCCATCTGCAATTCCTCAGTCCCTGGACATTGTTGGATGTGGGCGCCCTTTATGTTATTTGTTCTTGATGCTATCTTATGGTTTTTCTTTAACCAAATAAGACATTTTACCAGCACAAATAGCTCCCAGGAAAATAGTCCATAGTAAGAATTTGTGAGGAATTCTGAAGGCCTCCAAAGGAAAGCTATTGTTTTCCATACTCCCCTGTCTGAATCCATTGGTTGGAACCTATTAACACATTCCACTGTCACTGTGGACAGGCTGCTAATAGAGCCAGGCCACGAGGGTGGTTCAAAATGCTATTAGCATTGTCATTTTGTCTTGTCAGCCTGGCAGTAAATTAGACAAAGGGGCCTAGTTATTTTCTAACGTCTGAAGCTTCTCAAAACAACACAGGAAGGCCACCTCATCCTAATGCCTCACAAACATCATAAAAACCTGAGGGGCACAACTGTTTTGTTGTTTTTGTTTTTGTTTTTGTTTTTGTTTTTCAAGACAGGGTTTCTCTGTGTAGCTTTGGTGCCTGTACTGGATTTCGCTCTATAGACCAGGCTGGCCTTGAACTCACAGAGATCCACCTGCCTCCACCTCCCGAGTGCTGGGATTAAAGGTGTGTGCCACCACCTGTTGAGGGGAAGCACAGCTTTTAGGGACCCTGCACACTGAGTAGCAAGCCACTCAGGACAGTGCCTTTGACAAGTAAGCAAGCTAGAGCCCTCCATGTGTTGTGGTGCTTCTCTGCAGAGCTGTTGGCAGGGTAAGCCCATTCTGAGTCATCTGGGCAAGCATCGGCACAGGCTCACCACACGTAGGTTTTTCATGTTTGCAGGTATCCCAACCTTAAATGCCACTGGCCAGATAAGATCTGCAGAGAGCGAGGCAGAAATCAGTGTTCATGATCACACCTCCTCACAGTTTTTTTTTCAGTTTCTTTGTCCTCGTATTTGTTTATAAGAGAGAAAGGGGGAGGGGGAGGGGGGAAGGAGGGAGGAAGGGAGAGAGAGAGAGAGAGAGAGAGAGAGAGAGAGAGAGAGAGAGAGAGAATAATCTTATCAGATAGCTGAACATGATGGTGTGTACCCATAATCCCAGCAGCCCAGGGACACAGATAAGTGGGTCATGACTTCAAGAGCAGCCAGGATCCCAGAGGGAGACCTTGTCTCAAGACAAATTAAAAACTAGCTCAACTAAAAAGTTGATCTTTCTGCTGATTTTGTTTATTTCACCTGTCTTCCTAGGCTGGAGCCTGTCTGACCTTGTGTGTTAGACCCCCCAGTTCCCTCCTTCACCCTGGTCTACCTCCACTCTTTCTTCTGTCCTGTGCTCCAGACTTCCTCCTTGTCCAGCCTGTAGGGCTTAGCCAATGGGAGATATTACCAGACAATCAGAAGACAAGAAGAGAGCAAGGTCATAGTGTTACCTCTCACTCCTGCCTGTCCCTGGCTCCACACTGGCTGTGTGCTCCTGCTGGCCAGCCCTGCTCCCCATTTTTAGATCTCACTGGATCCCAGGAATACCATTCTGCCCTGGACTCCTAAACTTATAGATAGCAATGGTTGCCTCAATTTCCCTAGTTGAAGCTTTGATACTGCCTGGACCCGCCTCATCCTTGCCTATATTCCCTCCATTAGTTTCATTTCCCCCACATCAGCTGTGTTGAATTCTGTTACCTGATGAATGCAGAAGGACTCTCAAACGTCAAGTCTTTGATGGATCTGGTCTTCCTTCAACTATCATTGCTTCCTAAATCTACATATGTGGATTCAGACTAATATTCACCGTCTTTACAAGTGTATTTCCCTTTTCCCAACTTGAACATAGTTAATTTTCTAGTGTCTAATCAATAATTGTCATCCATGCCTTTATTCATTTGGAAAATAGAAGCATTTGTGTTTTGCAAATAATATAGATACTTATTAATATTAGTCAGTATATTACTATGGTCCAAGATATTTTTGTGGTCCTTCAGCATCCTCAGGACTTCAAGCACCACGAGGCCAAGCTCAGAGTACTTTCTTCTCCTTATCAATCACAGTGCTTGGCACATGGCGGTACTTAGCATAGATGTGCCATGTTCTAAGTGGAGGAGAGCTCCAAGACCTTGGATTTGATTTGTCCTGGAAAACTTTACAGTAGTGATAGTATTAGACAGTAAAGGCTAATATTTATTGAGCACAAACCATACTATGTGATATAATTTATCTCATTTACTCTTTGAAACAACCCTATGAGTGAGTTGTTATTGCTATCTTAGTAATGAAGAAATGATTTCCAACAGACTAGAAACTTATCTTAGGTCATCCAGCTAGTTTAGGACACAACCAAGCAAGGTCTGTTGGTCTACAAAGTCCACACTCCTAGCAGACAAATCCCACCCGCATACATGGCTCTAGGGGTTCCCTTTGGAGCACACAATGCTTATTTCATTTCAGCCATGACATAGCTAGTCTTCTCAATGCTTCCAAAAGGATGAAGGAAAGTGACCTGCCATCACTTCCACTGAGTCCGCTACTATTCAGGTCAGCCATCCTCGGCTCCCGGTTACTCCTCACATAGCATGGCTCACACCCCTCTCCTCTTCTAAGGGAGACTCGCCTCAGTCTACCTGGCTGTTGTGCCAGGTCACCAAAAATGTATAAGAGGGGTGTGTGTGTGTGTGTGTGTGTGTGTGTGTGTGTGTGTGTGTGTGTGTTTTATGTTTGTGTGTGTGCACATATGTGCACATACATATGCACGCACACGCACACACACACATATATGAAGAAGAAATTTGTTAAAGAAAGAAAAATAAGACCTACCTTAAGGCATGGCTTTGCTATGATCGAGTCAAGTTCACAAGCTGCAGTCCCAGCATGTATTCAGCCTTGGAAATCAGTAATATTCTCCAGACAAGAGAAAATGAGCATGCGTCCAGACGGCGAACTTGCTTCCATGATGCAGTAAAATCTGTTCCCTTCCTTCGTCTGGCAACTGACGGCACTTTCCACAGCCTGACTGAGGGCTCTGCTGAGGGAAAATCGGTTTCTTCTCTCCCAGGGACAACTTGTGTCCACTCGGTTTGCTGGAGTAGAGAAGTTCTTAGCTTTTTGTGCTTTAGCTCCCTTTGAATACAGTGAAGCTTATGATTCTCTTATTAGAATTAAATTTCAGATAAAGAATCTAATTATACAGAAATTTTAAAGCAATTCTATTGCAATACATAATTTTAAACTGTGTCATAATAACAGTATGCTTCTTCTTCATTAATATCTATATCCAAGAACTACCATAATTTAGACCAGCACAAACAATTTTTCAAGATCTCTGCAAAAGTCTCATGATGTGAAAATGTCTAGTTCTATTGGTGACAAAAATCATAGGACAATCATCATCAAAGAAATCCTAAAATTTAGTTAACAGCTAGTGAAAATTAAAATGTGACTCTTGCAGACAAAGTCACATATTTCCCAGAATACCACTAACCCCAGAATCAGAACTCCTAGGACAGGAGACTGGAGTCTGAAGATGCCAGCTGGGACCCTCCATAAGAAACTGTTTCATTTTACAGATGAGCAAAGGTTACTCTTGGCTGCCTGAGATGACATTTAAATTTGTGATGCATTTTACTGGCTGTAGTATCTAGTATTTTTGTTTGCACTTATGAAGAAGTCCTTGGGGAAGGTTAAAAGTTAACACTTCGGGCTAGAATGCATTTGGCACATCCTTTATAAACCTTTATAAAGGGGGATAGATAGTCCTCTCTACACACGCTCTATCCTCCTGGACCCCTGTCGGAGTTCGGAGTTTGTGTCTTTATCTAGAACACACCATCCATCTTCTACTAGAACACCCCAACTACTAGAAGAGTCACATTTTCATTTTCAGTTGATACTGAGACTATCAAGGCTAAGAAAGCTCATTTAAAAGAAAGTCATATGGTCCCCACCTGAAGGGTTTCAGCAACATCTTGACTGAAGGCCTAACCACCCTTTGAGTCACCTAAAATCCTGCAGACACAGACATCAGCCAAAGTTTCTGAGTAAATGGCATCCCCCCAGCTTTGCCCAGCCGCCTGCCTCATACCCAACTGGGTCATTCAAACGCAAAAGGAGCAGAAAGTCAAACAATCTCATCATCCTCCCATCTTCCCTTTAAAGGCACTAGAAATCTAAAGCCTGGCTGGCCTCCAGTCTAGACATTACCACAGAGATGGGCTCTCAGGGCAGAATACTTCATGCAGAAGTAGACGCACCTCATCCACAGAAGGCCAGCAGCTCACATCCAATGTATCCATGGTGGTCAAAAGTACCTTTCCACATTTCCAAAAATCTCTTCCATCTTGGTTGAGTGCTGAGAGGTGAAAGTAAAACATAAAGTATAAAATATACAAGAAACACCCTGAAGGAGGCAGCTAGTGGTAAAGAACTTCACTAGCATGAGACCCTAGGTTTGATGCCTCCTGCACGAACAACAGAGAGCCAACACACTGATTTTTTTTTAAAAAAAGGATTTGAATATGTTGACTAACCCAATTTTTATTTGGCCATAAAATTCTCATCTGTATTTAACACATGAGGAGATGCCCAGTCATACAGCAATGCAGAGCAGATCAGAAGTTGGCTGCTTACCACCAGCTCTTCCACAGGTCCCCCTGTGCCATTCGGGAGCATCTGCAGAGCACTGGGCGGTTCTGGGCACCACATTTAAGCCATGTTCTGCCCTCCTTTTCTGAGCCTGATAGATGTCATTATCTTTACAGGTACTGCAAGGAGCAGCCACATGTTTCTATGCTTTCATTGGCTTTGACATTATTGCCACCACTGGGGAGGAAGCCCAGAACCCCAACACATCCATCCCATACGCTATCACTGCATCCCTGGTCATCTGCCTGACAGCGTATGTGACTGTAAGTACCAAGTGCTGATGGGACCCTCCTCATGACCCCTTATGTTTTATTGTAAAAGGTGGTTCTAGGGCTAAGGAGAAGGTTCAGTATTGTAGTGCAAGTTCAAGGACATGAGATCAATCCTGAGAACTCACAGGAAAAGCAAAAGTCTGGCATGGTTGTGTGTGCTGGTAACCCCAGCACTGGGGAAACAGACAGACAGATCCCTGGGACTCACTGGGCAGCCAGCTTCACCTGCTTAGCAAGTTCTAAGCCTAGGAGAGATCCTGTCCAAAAAAAAAGAAAGGTAGACAGTACCTGAGGAATACTTAAGGTTGTCCTCTACACAATCTGTACACACATCTGCGCACCCTTACTCACACTCACACATACATACACACACAACAACAGCAACAAGTGTGGCTTTAGGACTGACACCTCCTCTCTCAGGACAAAGACTTCTCCTCACTCCCTGTTGATGCTTGCATGGTGTTTCCTGTGTCCCCTGTAGCTCTACTTATCAATGACAAGAAGAAACTCGAGACCTCAAATTGGAAGGGAAGCAAAGCCCCAAGCCCTCACCTCAGCCTGTGCCTCTCAAGTCTCCATCCCTACCCTTCCCTATGCCTAGGGAGAGTGTGCAAGGAGCGGGCTGTCATCCAAGCTGCTCAGGTCATAGGCTGGCAGTAACGGGTGGCCTCTGTGCACAGCCTCAATGCTCTTCTGTCTTCCGGGCGCTTCCCGGCAGTGGAGAGGCAAGGCTCCCACAGAGGCGGCGAGAGAACACGCTGTCCTTGGGAGACACTCTTGCCCTGAAATCTGGAGAGAAATGCAGTTCTTTTCAGCTCGGTCTCCTAACACCAGCTCAAACTCACCCTCGGGGTTTCCCTCAGAGAGAAGCCTCTAGCCTGGTCTCCTCAGGACGCATGAATACACTCCCACACACACTTCTAATGTTTCCTTCTCGGTCCGCATGGCAGAATTTCTCTCACAGAAACTGTTAGCCTCATCCAACACCTTCTTAGCTCCTAGAGCCATCTACCCAGCCACCAGGACACGGACACTCCCTGGTCCTCAAAGTCTGAATGGGTCATCACACTCAGGAAAAAGACAGCATCCAGGGTGGAGGCCACCCCTAGAGATTCCAATATGCTAATCTGAAGAAACACGTATGTCTAATGAGCTGAAAGTCATGGAAATTGAGAATAACTCAGGAGCGGGTACAGCCTGTCAGACTGGCCAGGCCTCATTACTCCAAAAAATCATCTTTAGCCATTACCTAAGGAATCCAGATCAAATGATGAGGCACGAAAAACAAGATTGTCTATTGATGGAAATCCAGTTGCCCACCCAGACATCTTATGAATGAATGGGCCAGTTATCACCTGCCTCCATGAACACAAAAGTGTCTTCATATTATCCAGACCCTGATTATCCTACATTGTGGGAGGTGGGAGGTGGCAGGGCAGGAGCAAGAGATCTCCTCTGCTCTGTCTGTCCCCGTCCACATTTCATCTTTCCACTCCTCCCTGTGGAGGCAGACCCTGGCAGCATGCACACACAGAGAAGCTTACCATCACGGTTCCTTCCTTAAATAGCACTTTATAGATTGCAGGATACGCTTGTGTATCCACCAAGCTAGCAGCTTAACCCATGCTGATCTGTGTGACCAGAAGACTCTGAGATTTGCTATGAGAACCAATCACACTCCTCCAGCCACTCCGCTGCATCCTCACAAGCAATGTGACAAGAGACAGCCCTGAGGGCCACTGTCTTTCAAACTACCCAGGCTTTAGTTGTGCCTCGGGGACCGCTTGGTCTCGTACTGGTCAGTAAACAGTCACTGTAGCACCAAGGTGCTGGGCTGCCACGGCATATTCTGCTGTCTTCCCTGGTGACCCATGGCTTCCCTGGGCAACCTTGGCTCCTGAGGAGCAGGCAAAGAAGTGGTCTGATGTGACCTCCATCCAGTTTAGGCTTTCAGTTCCCTTCTTGGTGTCAAGTTGTTTTCTACATGCCAGGAGGAGTCACGTGTGACTGCTGTTTAGGGTCAATGTTAAAGAAATCAATTTTACAGCAGATCTTTGACATAGAAAGGAAAACATGACCCCTACAGGAGTCTCCAGACAAGCGTACCCTGGTTAAGTAGAGACACAGTGGGGTCCCCACTGGATCAGGCCCTCTGAATGGGTGAGACAGTTGATTGGCTTGATCTGTTTGGGAGGCATCCAGGCAGTGGACCAGATCTTGTGCTCATTGCATGAGTTGGCTGTTTGAAACCTGGGGCCTATGCAGGATTGTTTGGCTCGGCCTGGGAGGAGGGGACTAGACCTACCTGGACGGAGTCTACCAGGTTGACCTCAGTCTGTGGGGAAGGCTTTGCCCTGGAGGAGATGGGAATTGGGGGGGGGGTTGGGGGGAAGGTGAGGGGGACGGGAGGGGGGAGAACAAGGGAATCCGTGGCTGATGTGTAGAACTGAATTGTATTGCAAAATAAATTAAAAAAAAAAAAAAAAAGTAGAGACACAGTGGCTTCACAGAGCGCGACTGGATCCATCCCGATGCCACAGTTCTCTGTCGGCCTGCATGACCCTCGACACTAAGCCAGAGGGAGGAAATGAAATATGAGTCCTTACTGTGACCTTGTCAGCTCATGTCTCAAACACCATCGGTGTTTTGACCTCTGAGGTTGTGAGTGAGAAGGAGAACAGATCTGAGCCAGTGGGTCCTGAAGAAATAGAAGTAAAGCCTTGTCCTGTCCTGGTGACGTAGCCCAGGGGATAAAGGTGCTTGCTGCCAAGTAGATATGAGGTGGATCCCCACAAGCCGCATGACAGAAGAGAACTGAGCTGCCCTAAGGTGTGCTTCAGCCTACACAAGCGCACACGCACACACACACACACATTCAAAAACACACAAATGCTTTATAAAAAAGAAGAGGAAGAAGAAGTGAGAGCTTGGACCTTAGGGGCAGGGCACTTGAGGCCCTGGCCATGCACCTTCCATCTGGGCATGTCTCAGGATAGATCTGTTTCTGTGAGGCTTGAAACATCTGTGGGTTTTTCCTCAGATAGGAAAAGGCCACGGAGACATTTTGGAGATTACTTGGTCCCAACCACTAAAAGTGAAAGTAGGGAGAAAACACGGAGACCAAACGGTCTAAATAAAGCCACGTGCCAGCTAATGGTTCCAAACTGCCACAACGGCCTCTGCCCTCAGGTCGGGGTCACCCGCCCATGCTGTCTGTCCCCTCTGCCTGCAGTCCATCTTCTTTTGTCTTGACAGGTGAGCATGATCTTAACTCTGATGGTGCCATACTACGCCATCGACACGGAGTCCCCTCTCATGGAGATGTTTGTGGCCCATGGCTTCTATGCCGCCAAGTTTGTGGTGGCTGTCGGGTCGGTGGCAGGACTGACAGTCAGCCTGCTGGGCTCCCTGTTCCCCATGCCCAGAGTCATTTATGCCATGGCTGGTGATGGGCTGCTTTTCAGGTAAGGGTCCCCAGGAAATGGTTCCACTCTGCTGCTGCTGTCCAAGAGGACTGTCACCCACTGAGATCAGCTTGATGACTGCCTTTCCTAAAGACTGACATCTTGTCAAAGTCTGGGTTTCAAGAGCTCAGCCTCTGAAATGGCCTCTCAGATGACCCTAGGTCCTTCAGTCCAGAACCAAGGGATGTGAGCCCTTATCCCTCCACTGACAGGCATTTCCCTTGTGGAGGCAGTCGGTCCAAATCACTGTGTGGAAGGTGAGGGTACTTTCAGAGGGAAGAACTCAGGGGTATCTTAGGCCTGCCTCATAGTGAGACCTGGCTCCTTTCTCCAAACCCCCCGAAGCTGAAAACCTCCAATGGACAGACGATAAATCCTCTAATGATAACATGGCAATTGTTACAGTAACTGTCGTTTGTCAGACAATTATCAACATTGGTGCAGCTGGGTGGTCTGTGTACTGTGTCCAATGAGTATACCAGGAATTAAAGAGGTAGGAGAGCCTTGGCCCAAACCTTGCAGCTGATGAGTGGTGGGCCAGAACTTAAAACCAGAGCTATCTGGCCTGAAACTCAGACTTCCATTGTTTAACTGTGTGAGTGTTTGGCTTGTTTCTATGTACCCCATGTGTATCTGGTACTTCCAAAGGCCAGAAGAGGGCGTCAGATCCCCTAGAGCTGGAGTTAGAGATGATTGTGAGCCGCCACGTGGGCACTGAGAACTGAACCCAGGTCCTCAGGAAAAGCAGCCTGTGCTCTTCACCACTGAGCCGTCCCTCCATCCCTGATCCTCAGACTTGTCACAGTAGCAATACTTTTGAAGTTCCAGCCTTTTGGGCAGCCACGGAGTGGTCTGTCTCCCACTAACCAAACTGGACCTGCCCCTTTTCTTGATCTCCAGTGCCTGTGGGAGGATCAGGCAGCTCTCAGAGAGGTCAGGAGAACAGGCTCAGGGCTTTATTTCTGCCACTGCTGTCACTTCCTGCCGTTCCCTGAGTCTACACCAGGCTAGAGCAGCTAGCTGCCCTGGGCTGCTGGGTAGATCGAGACAGGCCTGAGGTGGTGGGGCAGCTCACAACTTCACACATCAGTAAGATTTCCTGCCACAAAAAAACAAATAAATTAAAACCAAAGAGGAAAGACGCTATGGGCCCTGGCACACTCAACCCTTCTGTGTGGTTCAGAGGAGAGAAATGATGGAGGAGGCAGGGCCAGGAGAGGAGAGAGGAGGGCAGAGGAGCCTCTCTGGGTCTCGCAGGGCCTGCTGCAGAGGGCCCGCGTTTTGACCACCCTGGTTCCCTTCTCATCTCCAGTTGAACTTGTTCTGTGTCGACGAGCCTCTCCACTGGCATGCTGCTTTACCAACTCGATCCCTGTCCTTTTGGTGCAGGGTGGTGGGTCTCAGGTGTGAAAGCTTGAGGTGTCTTTTAAAGTACAGTTGGCTGGACATCACCTCCAGAAACTCTGATGTGGTAGGGCTTGTGAGCATGTTCCTTCCCAGTAAGAACTGGTAATGTTGCAGACTGACAAGTTTTCCAGCTTCCGTGTGGATTTCTGACAGACCTCCTAGAGTCAATCAGTCCTTCCTGTCACATAACAAATAGGACCCCTTGGTTTCCGGGGGTTTTTTAAGGCTTCATATCAAGGAATTAAAGTGAATTCTCTAATGATGTCCCACAAGCCAAACTGTGGGACTAGCGTAGCATACAAGTTAATCAGAATGGCAGGGCAGGAGAAGCTACCCATACCAAGCTGTTGACATTGCAGTTCTAACATGCTGGTATGTTAGAAGCAGTCACCGTGGGTACTGTGACTCTTAACTCTCTGCTTACACCTTCCCTCCAGGTTCCTGGCTCACGTGAGCTCCTACACGGAGACACCAGTGGTAGCCTGCATCGTGTCCGGATTCCTAGCAGCTCTCCTCTCACTGCTGGTCAGCCTGAGGGACCTGATAGAGATGATGTCCATTGGCACACTCCTCGCCTACACCTTGGTCTCTGTCTGCGTCTTGCTCCTTCGATACCAACCCGAGAGTGACATTGATGGTTTTGTCAAGTTCCTGTCTGAGGAACACACCAAGAAGAAGGAAGGCATCCTGGCTGACTGTGAGAAAGAAACGTGTTCTCCTGTGAGTGAAGGGGAAGAGTTCTCCAGCCCTGCCACAAACACCTGTGGGGCCAAGAACCTGCCGTCCTTGGGAGACAATGAGATGCTCATAGGGAAGTCCGATAAGTCTGCCTACAATGTCAACCACCCCAACTACGGCACTGTGGACATGAGCACAGGCATAGAAGCCGATGAATCAGAAAACATCTATCTCATCAAGTTGAAGAAGCTGATTGGACCTCGCTACTACACGATGAGAATCCGGCTGGGCCTTCCAGGCAAAATGGACCGGCCCACAGCAGCAACAGGGCACACGGTGACCATCTGCGTGCTCCTGCTCTTCATCCTCATGTTCATCTTCTGCTCCTTCATCATCTTTGGCTCCGACTACATCTCGGGCCAGAGCTGGTGGGCCATCCTTCTGGTTGTTCTGATGGTGCTGCTGATCAGTGTGCTGGTGTTTGTAATCTTGCAGCAGCCAGAGAACCCCAAGAAGCTGCCGTACATGGCCCCCTGCCTCCCCTTTGTGCCCGCCTTTGCCATGCTGGTGAATATCTATCTCATGCTAAAGCTCTCCACCATCACATGGATCCGGTTTGCGGTCTGGTGCTTTGTGGGTAAGCAATGTCCTCTGGAGCCTCGGGCGTCCCCTTTTTAAGGTCTTGAACAGGCTTATCCCAACATTATGCCCTAACTGGACAAGGCACCTCCATTCTTAGAGAAAGTGGGTTGGTTCTACAGACCCATGCTTTCTTCATTGGTCAATAAAGCCAGTGACCACTGTTCTGCCTGATATGCTCTTGGTCATGGTCCTGGAAGAATGATGCTCATCAATCCATTACTTCACTAAATGCCTACTCTCTGAAAGTTCTTCTTGTGTGAGAATAATTAGTGCCAGAAAAGGTTTGATTAAAAGGAATACCATAGCGTCTTTCCTCTTTTGGTTTTAATACCCAGAGGGAAGTATGATAGCATGTGGGGGGAGGTTGGCTGGGGTCCTCTTAGACACCTAAAAGTATGGTCAATTATAAAAGACTTCATTGATCTTAATTTGACCAAATTAAACTAAAAGGTCAATACAGTCTGATTTTTTAAATAAACAAAGCCTGAGCCAAGTATGGATTGGGGCATTATTTTTCTGATACAATTTTGTCATGGTACCATTTTACACCGTTCAGTTCATTCTGGCTTTTGTAACTATTCAAGATTTTCCCCAAGGCCCTTGTGTTACCCTAAGAAATGCCAATGGAAGGTGTCCATCTTGCCTTCATCCTTGCTGAATTCCATCTGTCGTTGATGAGTGGCCTAACTCTGTAAGTGCCTCCATCATTCCTATCTCCTGGTGTAAACTCCGGGAACTCACTTTCACTGACTTTAAGAAGCCCCATACTTTCTCAAGAATTCTGATTTGACTTTCTGCTCAATTAGTATTGAATGCACTTTTGCTCCATGTTGGTCATATCTAACCATTGCCGGTGTTTCTGAGGCAGCTGGGGATGGATCGATATAACTTGAGAGGGGCATCTAAGCAAATTTAAAGTTCATTTGTGACTGTTTTTAAGTCCTTGGTAGCCCAGGGGGTCTCCAGTAACGAATACTTAGCGAAGGAAGTTTGGCAGAGCAGAAGGAAGTTTGGCAGAGCAGAAGGAAGTTTGGCAGAGCAGGAATCTCTCTCTCTCTCTCTCTCTCTCTCTCTCTCTCTCTCTCTCTCTCTCTCTCACACACACACACACACACACACACACACACACACACACACACACACACACACACTAAGCATTTCCTGCCTCAAGCAAGGACAGCCATGGCTCAATTCATCGGATTAAGGAGACAGACACTCACGTTGATTAGCAGCCTGTCCACTATTTGAGGCCAGGGATGTAAGTGTCCAGTGTGTGCCTAGAACAGAGTGCCTTGGGACATGCTCAAGAAGTGTTTCTTAAATGATTGTGAAGTACTTTTTCAGAGGAGAAAAAAGTGAGACTGGCCAGAAAGCGCTTGGAGGAAATCGGATGTGTGGGGCTGAAGGGAAGGACTTCGTGAGACGGAGGCAGAAAAAGCAGCGGGCCAAGAGAAAGGGCAAGTCTCTCCCGGAGGTTTCACACACTTTCTACTGTAGCCAGCCAGTGGGAAGAAGACTGCTCTGGACAGAAGGGACTGAAGTGGGTAAAAAGATTGTAGTTATGTGGCTGTCAGGTGAATGAAGGCACAGATAGCAACACATGTGAACAGGGTCATCGGACAGGACAAGTTGGGAGGGCTTCTGCATGCAGACCGGGATCACCCACGGCCGGGTGCCCATCCCAGGAGACTATTTACAGGAGCTTTCTAGAGTACTTTATAGTCCTACTATTACACACACAAAAATAACACAGAATAAAAACTTCCCTACGTGGGATTCCTGTGATTTCACAAGTGCTTTTGCTTAGGAAGACACTGTAGATGATTTTTTTCTTAATTTAAAAAGTGAAACACAGTAAAGAAAAGAACAATTGATCCTTGTATACAAACCCTGTGGCTCACAGAAGTAAGTAACAATATAGCACTATTTACAAGTTCCTGTGAGGGATTTGCCTCACTTTTCAGTCCTCATGGAAATCTCCCTTGCACAGATGGAGAACGACGGCTCTTGCTTGCAGACACACAGCCAAAATCTAGCAGAGCTGATTCTAAAAGGGGGAGTGCAGAGTCCCTTATCAGAGCAAGGACATGACTTAGCGACAGAGTGCTTGCCTAGGAAGTACAAGAATCTTGGGTGGACACCTTCACAAACAACCCTGAGCTTCCTAAATGAGAGACCTCCATCACAGTCACCATGCCAAACTATGGTCCGCCACCACCTCTGTCCCTCTTGGTTTTATGGAGGAGTAAACTAAAGCTCCAACAGTTGGATAACACCAAAGTCAGCAGAAGAACGGGTTCTTGACTCCAGTGTACCCCACCTCAGTTCTCTTCACCCCCACCACCAGTCTCTGAAAGCCTCTCTTATTTGATCTGAATGTCTGGTGGGGCTAAAACCTGACGGTGGGCCTGCATCCCCGCCAGATCATCTCGGGGCAGGCCCCAGGCCTGGGTTAGCGGTCTGCTGGGGTTGTTTTGAATCCTGAATAATTTCTGAGCAAGAGACCCCACGTTGTCCTTTTGCCCGGAGATTCACCAGCTGATAGCTGACTTTGTGTCCCGTCTGTGGTTCTGGCGGCACTAAAAAGGTCTCTCTCCTTTGGCATCTAACAGTGCCAGTTTCAAGTGGGAGCCCCATCCCAGCCTTGACCTATAAATTTAAAAACTTCACCTAACTTCCTGTAAAGTTATGACATGGGTCATTCTGTCGTCTTTGAACTGTTGGGGGCACAGGAGAGAAAACGATGGAGAAAGTAATAAATACTTATCTTCTGTTTTCTTCCTGAAGCTGTGAAGTGACTCATTGTCCACCGGCTTGGACAGGCTGGCTATCACTCAGCAGAGCACAATGGGAACCATCCCCAACTCAGGCTGCCCCACTTGTTACCAGACAGAGGAAAAACTCCCTCCAAGCCTTTTGCAATCTTGCTGATAGCACAGACTACAAACTCCCTCAAGAAACCGTTTCCCACTGACCTAGCAGGATGCCACACCGCGCGCAGAGTGGGCATCTGTGCTCCACAAGCACCCAGGGCCAGGGCACAGCCCACCAGCCACATTTGGCATTGCTAATCCTTCCAGGCACCGACTGCCAGCTGATTCTGTGACTTCTGAAGGCAGTTAAGTTACTAAGCTTCATCCAGAACAAAGAGTGTCAACTCTGACTACAGATCAGAATACTCTGGGTTACTTCTGGGACATTCTAAACACAGGCTTCCCCCACATAACATTATGATTCGATTGATTTGGGTGGTCAAGCGTATAGTATGATTTTAGAGCTCTGCCGAGGAATTTTTAATGTGCAGCCAGGTTTTCAATAACCTATAATCTTTTCAATCAATACTTCTCAAAGGGTCATCTCAAACCACCAGTGCTAACATCACGGTGGACTAGCTAGGATGCAATTTGGGCCTCAACAAGCCCTCCAGGTGACTCTAATTCATGCTCCAATTTGAGAGCTATTGTTCTAGAGCGAAGACATTATCAAGCAGAGGAGGTAATTTAATTACAAAATCTATTTTTCAAAAACAACATTTTTCATGTATAAGTATATCCATCCCACAGCCCCAAGTTGGCTTATAAAAATATTTATGATCTTACATAGTTACAATAAATATCCCTCCTCTGAATTTGTGAGGCTTCCAGACATCGGCTGTTTCTTCAGCTTATGCACAGTGTAACTTTCCTGGGAAGAGCAGAGGCGATATTATTAAACAAAGTTTCTCATGGACTCTACCACTTCTTAGCAAACATCCATGGTTAAAGCTGAGTCATGAGGGGATGATGTTCTGGGATGGGTTCTTGTATCCAGCCTTCCCCAAGTGCGTCTTAAGCAGAGGATTTCTGTAACAGTGTTTCACTGCGCTTTGACCTTCGAAAGAGTGTAACTCACAGAGTGAAAAGAGGCCAAGCCCCAACCAGATTTCCCTGCACACACTTACCTTCCCTTTACACAAGAGGAAAGATACAAGTAATAAATGTTCATTAGTCCCAACAAAGTGAGCCCAAAGCCGTCTTCAGAGCCTTGTCCTCTGAGAGGATGCAGGCTGGTAGGAGCATGTCCAGGGGTCCGACACTCTCAGGAACGTGTTCTTACCAGGGTAAGAACATGGCAAAGTGACATTTTCCAGGGTCTCTCTCAGGCCTGTTGTCCCCAGAGGGCTCATATTAAGAATTATCAGACCAAAAAAAAAAAAAACAAAAACAAAAAACTGCCGGGCGGTGGTGGCGCACGCCTTTAATCCCAGCACTCGGGAGGCAGAGCCAGGCGGATCTCTGTGAGTTCGAGGCCAGCCTGGTCTCCAAAGCGAGTACCAGGAAAGGCGCAAAGCTACACAGAGAAACCCTGTCTCGAAAAACCAAAAAAAAAAAAAAAAAAAAAAACAAGAATTATCAGGGTTGCTGGGCAGTGGTGGCACACACCTTTATTCCCAGCACTCGGGAGGCAGAGGCAGGAGAATCTCTGTGAGTTCGAGACCAGCCTGGGCTACAGAGTGAGTTCCAGGAAAGACTTTAAAGCTATACAGAGAAACCCTGTCTCAAAAAACAAACAAAAAAAATTATCAGGGTTAAAAAAAAAAAAAGAGGATGGCATACACCTTTAATCCCTGCACTCAACAGGCGGATCTCTATGAGTTTGAGGCCAGCCTGGTCTACAGAGTGGGTTCCAGGACAGCCAGGGCTGTTACACAAAGAAACTCTGTTTCAAAAAACAGGGGGTGGGGGTGGAGGGGGTGGATTATCCGGTAGCCTACTCAGAGGTACCATGAGAATAGCCATATTTTCATTTATAATTTGTTCAGTCCCTCTGAGGAAAATGAAATTTTGTCTTTAGAGTCAGAGAACAAACAGGACTTGGGATTTGGACAATGGGCTTCATGTGTTTTATATCAGGATATAAATATTATTTTTTTCCTTCTATTTGCTGTTTGTGTTTGTTTGCTGAGGCAAAGTTTCTTATATCCAAAACTGGCCTCAAATTCCCCTGTGGCATCGA